CTCTAACTCCATTATCATAACTAATTTAATGTAAAATGTCTTTGCTACATACTTTGCCAATGAAATCTCATAACAAAGTTTTCATATGTAACTTTGGGAATTTATCAAATACATGTTCTAGTGATTCATAGAACCTGCCCTTTACATCATCAATTTTATCTTCTGCTGGGGCATGAACATTCAGAACGGTGATATCACACCAGCGACCTCTTAGTATTATATATGACATCCTAATCACTAATGAACTCTACCCTCTTAACTGCTGATATGATTCTCTTATGTACGAAAAAACTGTACCTAATTCCTGATTCTCATTCCCTTTACATATAAAATGTATATTTGTCTGCTTGTTCGGTGTCACCTCCATCCCACATGACCTCCTGTACTCTCGCTATCTCTAACTTATACTTTGAGATTTTTTCTGCCACTGCCCTGAGCACACCTGCCCTATACACACCTCTAACATTCTAAGTACCAAATCTCATACCCATTTTCTTTCACTTAGGTCGTTTATTAACAGAATCCATCCAGGTCTGAGGCTTTTTGAACATTTTCGTAACAAGCTTATTTTTTTGTGGCGAGGAGTTGTTAGCCCCAAGCCCAAGGAGGACCACTCCTTATCAGCTGTCCATGACTGCTTATTCAAAATATTTGCACATACCCTCCATACTCAGTATACACATGACAGCGAAATAAAATCTTAAACTAACCTGTTACCAAGATTTATAATGTGTAGGTATAACAAAAAGTTCTCGGAAGAACTAATCGCATACTTTCCTTTAATACAACACAAGACCGCACAGAAAATGATGCCTCCAACAATTCTTTGTTGCTGTGGAAACATCTTTACTGAGTTGTTACTTAGCAACAACAGGGAGATACACAGACCCTCAGATTCTCCTTTGATAGGGCACGGCCACCACATAAAATGATACATCCAAAATTCTTCTGTTGTTGCATGCATTTGTTGTCAAAGCAATGTGTTTACTGTGCTGTTGCCTAGTACAGAAATGACAGACATGCTTCACCAAGCCTTTGCCTACCAGCAATGGGAGGGTTACACATAAAGACAGACTGATGGGAAAGATTTATGAAGTATGCAGATGAGAGGGGCTCAGTTGCCATGATATATGTCGTACTATACCAATTTTCATACCGATTGGTTCAGGTATTCAAATGTTGATGGTGGGATACAGACAGACAGGATGGCTACTGCAAAAGCCTACTTCAGAAAGCAAGCTAAAAATACAAGAAATATATTTCAGAGCTGGTAAATGTCATAACTATGTCAAAATTGTGGAGGAAAAATGGCATAAGGAACCAGTGATGAAGGTGAAAATATATACTGGAATGTATAGCAGTAAGACACAGGAAGCGAAGTACACTAACACCACTCTAAGATACAACAGCAAAGAAACTAAAAACTGAAAAGAAAGACAAAAACATAGTGCAACATCCTGTCTACATTCTATTTACACACTATAGTTAATTCATGACAACATTAACCTTCAATTATTGAAGTGAATAAATGCTCAATGTATACTGTGTGAATTATACAGCTGATATTGCATTAAGAGTAATTTGTACTCTCTGAACTTTTGTGTTAACACCTTCTGATATACTGTAAGAAGGATTTTTTTTTTTGTATTTGAACAAATTAATAAACTGCAGAGTTAAATGCCAAATCAATGCATGAACAGGTTAGACAGAATAAATATGGTGAATGTAATTGTCTCAAAAAGCTTCATCACAGATATTTTACTGGTTCCTGTGAAAATCTTATATTCATCATACATACCCAAACGTAAATACATTGCATCAAATTACATAAAACAACACACTGGACACAAACGCAACATTGTTACTAGTGTGCACTTTGTACATCAAAGGCATAAAGGACTNGGGGGGGGGGTAGAAAATGTTCTTGCACTTACATTTAGCTGTTTATGGTATTTTTACTGATCGACCTAGAGTATTTTGACCAGAACAACTTTAAAAAATAATTTTTTATATTATTCCTTGATGCATTTCTACGTCTTTTTTTCCTAAAAATCCAGGACAGCCATGTCCCCCCCCACGCATCATGCACTTGTGAGATCAAACATAAATAGCGTATATGTGTTAGGATCCAATTACAACTAAATGCAATTGTACGGGACATAATTGTAGTCTCTGCTGAAAGGGAAACGTACATAATAAGCCACATGGATGTCCAATGCAAGTATACCCTTTATGGACAAAAGCTTTGAAAAGCCTAGCTCCCATTTACTAACATACCTCATTTAGTTTACTTATCTATAAAAACTGGAATAAACTTTTGGCGAAACACAAGTGGTGTGCCGCCTCTGTGATAGGTCTGACGTTTACAACATTCTACTCTCTGTATTAATCGCAAAATATAACATAATTGCTAATAATCGGAAAATTCAGACACTTTCTAGACGATGGAAAAAAAGAAAACATATATTCACGCCCACTACTATAAACATAAAATACAAAATATGTTTTCACTTCTAGGTTTGACCTGAAACTAAGTACTGAGGATCGATAAGACTATAATAATTGCTGAAATTTACCTGTGGAAATAGCACTCATGATTATAAAGCGATGGGGAAAAAAATCAACTCAAAATCAAAGCGCACGAAACGAGACTAACTGGACATCGAAACACGACTGACGTGTAGTCATCAAAGATTGTAATATTATTAGATAAACAAGCCTAACTTAGCTAAACTGACGAAATCGTCTCGTATATACTGCACTCTTACGGGGTCTCTCAGAACCAGCCCTTGGAAACTAATTGCCCTCAATGCTATTGGCGGATATCATAGCCACCGTGACGTCATGCAAGCATCACTGCTGCCGCAGTGCCCGGAGGCAACTCTATTGATGCAAAATGGCTGCCACCAGTACCGAGGGCACTGTCGGTATGAGGGTATGCTATCATAACACCATCCCTTGCCCGGTCGGTAAGAAAGTATGCTATCATACCACCAGCCTGTGTGTACTGCTCCCTCCCAATGGATCACTAGTTCACATAAACAGCTAAAAATAATTTGCAACCCTGGCCTCTTGTATTGCAGAGGTTCTTACTCCATTGTGTATTTTTTGTTTTCAAACTGAGTTTAATACCACTTCACTCAAAACCATTTGGAGGGGTATGAGATAATGATATTAAACTCATTTCGAAAACGGAAAACACACCATGGAGTAAGAACCTCTGCAGTACAAGAGATCAGGTTGCAACATTATTTACCGTGAGAAAGTTCCTCACCAGTGCCTGTAAAATATGAACATTTCTTTTATGTCAATTCAACACCACCTTACCGAAATGCAATGGACATTTGAACTATAACATACATAGAATTTGTCACTGTATACTAGTCTTTACTTCAGTTTACTGTATAATTAATATATGTTATACAAAACTCATTAATGACATTGTGCTTTAAATATTGAATTTTTAATTAATATACTTGTATAAAACTGTACAAATTGTATAAGGTTTGCCATTACTTTTACTTACTTACTTACTTACTCATGGAGCTGAGCCCTTCTGGAGGAGCTGCCAATTCTGCAGGTACTCAAGAATTTCCCAGTGTTTTATGGAACCCGAACGTTCATTACCGTGTTCAAAAGAGCCCTCTACTGGTCCTTATCCTGAGTCAGATCTATCCAATTCATACCATCCCATCCTATCTCTCTAAGATCCATTCTAATATTGTCCACCCACCTATGCCTTGGTCTTCCTTGTGGTCTCTTTCCTTCTGGCTTTCCCACCAATAGCCTATACGCATTTGTCTCCCCATTACTTTTACTACTAAAATTAACTTATTTATTATATTGTATATGTTTATCAGTATTTTATTACAAATGTGTATGCTATTGGATAACAACTGTAATTCTTAGTTGTGACTGTAACTAGGACGATCTCCACATCTGCATGAGAATGTATTCTCGACAGGATTTATGGAAGGTGAATAAATGAAATGAATACTTGTGTTTGGGAAAGCTGATGACGGGTAAACTTGAAGGAAAATTCTGCTTCCATCAAGAGACACTTGTATTTCACTTCATAATTTTGCTTACAACTTACACTTGAAAGCTATACAGAACATAGCTTTTCAGTTACATTAATATGTTATAAATCATGTAAAAGTAAAGTAAAGTTATCCCTGTAACAGGCCTTGAAGGCCCATAGAGTTGTGAGACGTTAAGGGTCCCACATTACCTTGACAATCGGCTCAAAGATGGCGGTAAGATTGTCAGCCTTATACGCCGGCCGCGCTTCACTCCCAAGGAAAATTATTATTCCTGGTACTCATGTATAGGGAGCAATAATACTGAGGTTTCCATTTGTTATTAATTTCAGTAGTATAAATATAAATATATATATATATGTTCACAATGGTTTTCATGTATTATTAACAGGTGAGAGCGTCGCTTGTCAATCAACATAATTTATTCGATTTAGCTGGAACCCCCCCCCAAGATGGAACCTCAAAAACGTGCCCAATATTCAAAACTTCTCGATTCAGAAGAACTGGAGGAAGTGTTGATGGAAGAGGAATCTGATGAAGAGTTAGAAAAACTATGACTTCACTGAACCTCGTGAAAATATATCATCAGCATCAGGTAATGAGGAAGACAGCCTTGTGGATAAATCTGACAGGACGGTAAACAGTTATGGAATTGCTCAGAGGACATGGAAATGGGCAAAGAAATTGTTTTTCCACTGTCTAGATACAAGGGGCATGCGGTAGCGTAGTTGGTTGAGGCACTATGCTACAAGCCGGAAGGTTGTGGGATTGAATCCCGATGAGGTCACTGAATTTTTTTCAATGTACCTAATCCTTCCAGCTGCACTATGGCCCTGGGGTCGACTCAGAATCTAACAGAAATTAGTACCAGGAATATTCTTCGAATGTTCTTGGGAGTAAAGGGCAGATAGCACGTAAGACTGACAATCTTACCGCCATCTATGAGCCAGTTGTCTAGAAAATGTGGGAACCTTAACATCCCACAACCCTATGTGCCTCCATGGCCTGTTACAGGGATACCTTTACTTCTTTTTTACCTTCTAGATATGACCATTCTCAATGCCTATGTATTACACAAGTCATGTGGTGGAAAAATGACACATAACACATTCCGCGAAATCCTAGTGCGGGATTTGAGTCTTCAATCGCACTAGGCGAATATCAAGGTCAGTAGCATTTCTCAGGGGAGGCTAAGTTCATCTGGGGCCCAACCAAGTCGACTGGAGGTGAAACATTCACAACACTGGCCAACCAAAGGGAAACAAAGACGTCGTGTGCATTCACTAAATAAGAAAAGCAGGAGGACCCTTTTGTATTGTAAAAAATGTGATGTTGGGCTGTGTCGTGGACTACTTCGAGATGTGGCACACGCACATCAGAGTGTGAGGTATCGTAAACTGTGAAGTGTCGCGGTCCAAACTTGCATACAGTCTGATTAAAATATTATTGTATACAGTATTTACAAAATCACTATGTCTCAAGATTGAAGAAAAAACTATGGGCAAGTCCTTTGGAATTTCATAAGATAGTTCATATTTCTATGTTGCAAAATATGTAGTTTTTTTCTGAAAGTCTGCAATGGCCATTTAAATTCTGGCCGCAGAGGGCTGCTGGCAATTTAAAGGTCCGTACATTAAAGGTTAATGAATTAAATATCAGTTGCGATCTTATTAAAACCAGACTATTTTTCAAAGCCTGCTTATATAGATTACAAAAATCATGCATACAGAAGTAACTTGGGTATAAAGTCTCTCTCACATCTTTTCAGTATAAACTTAGGATTACAGCACTTTAATATTTGTTGTTAATTTCCAATGAACACACACTATACTATTCCTTATTTTAAGATTATGGCTTGCAGGTTTAACATTTGTACAATACAATAACTCAGAGGAGTTACCAGTATCATGAAGCAGCAGGTGCATTGTTAGCATTGCGATGGTGGCAACGAAGCAGCCACTGGGCATTGGGATTCTCCTTGTACACAGCCAACAAAATGGCACTGTGTTCTATTTGACGTTGGCCTGCAAGACAGAGAGAGAGAGAGACAGATGACAATACATACAGCAGTGTGCAAACAATGTCTACAAGGAGACAGAAGGCGAAGAAAAACAGATCTCTTTGACAAAAATATTTCCTCTGCAAGCAATGTAAAATTCACCCTGTAACAAAGGACAAATAGTAGCAATTCTCCATATAGTTAACTACTTAATGATTGCCTCACCAATCAACAGAGCCACATTTGTCAGTTAACTAATATCTAACTCAGTGGTTCCCAAAGTGGGCTGTACTGCCACCTGGGAGGCAGCAGGCTTATCTAGGGAGGCTCTAAGAGGCAAGGTGCCACTGGAGGTGGGTCCCTTTGAGCATGCTGTTCACTTACATCTTAAGTGACTTTAAACCAGACACTGGGAAACTGGTATCACTTCATCAAGCTCATCCATTGCATTGATAATTTACTAACAGTGAAATAACTACTAAATGCGGTATCTAATTTTACTGTTATCATCTTCCTTAGTGTATTGTGCAAACTGATATTGTGAAGAATGATTTTTATAGGGTAGGGCAGGGGGTACAAGGGATGAGTTTATGGAACTAAGCAGGCGGTAACCTGAAAAGGTTTAGGAACCACTGATCTAAGTGATACAGATCATCACTGACAGTTATTCACCTGAAGATGTAATTCCCTGTTATGGTTTATCACCATCATTACAAAAGCCTAAAACAGGTCCATATCATAAAACACATCAAGAGAATTCACATTTTTAAAATGTATTTCTTTAAGATCCTCTTTACTATTACCCTTTCATTTAGTCCTAGATCTCAAAGGTTATTGTCTAATAGGTCTGCTGCATTGCAAATGATGCAGTCTATTACCGTAATGTGGGCACTTATGAAGTGCACCCCACTTATACAGACTGCAGCAGACCATGGAAAACTTGTATAGAAACATGCCATCATGCTTTAAAATTAATAAATTACAAAAAAATTCCTACAAATTCTTACACAATAAATAATGACAGAAATGCCAACTCCATGTCCTCTTAAATACTCCTGTCATCTGTAAAACATTTTGACTTACCAATATTTCCACCAACCTCATACAAATAATGTGTTTGTAAGGAGAGCTCTGGGCAGCTTGTAGCAAGAATGCAACTGAGGTTACCATTTGGTGCAAGCTCAGCCAGGGCACGTGATTTCATGTCATGATATGGACGCCGTGACACTTTAAATCCCACTGATGCAAGCATCTCACACCTTTTACTGGCCTCCTCCATGATTCTAGTATAGAATTCAGAACATCTTATCAATACCAAACTAAAATGCCAATGTACAACAAAGCCTCTTAATGTCAAGGAGCCAGGTGGGCTTCGAAAAGTTTATAATGAATCAGCTGGTCAAGAAACTTACTGTTTTTACAGAATATACATCCTAAAACTGTACCGCAGCTGGATCCAGTCCAAACCTTCACACTCTCTCTCTTCGAGATCCATTTCAATACTTACCTCCTACCCATGCCTATGTCTCCCAAATGAATTCATCCCTTAAGGTTCTCGACCAAAATTTTGTATGCATGCCCTACTTTAAACTAAGGAGTTTACAAAGAAAGGCTAAACAACACTACTAAGAACCACCGGGATTCATGATCTTATCATCTGATGGCCTTTACTACAGGCCAGTGTTTTAAGCAGACAGTTCTGCAATTTTAGCCTGTATAAAGGAGTATGTAGGGAGATCCTATACAGATGAACCCATTATTATATGTTCAGATAGTGACACAGCTTTGCAGGCACTTCTGGCATTGAGGGTGCTTGTCTGGGAATATTGACAGGCAAGGTACGCAATACCTAATCAGAATAAAGTTATGTGATCACAGTGGGATTCAGGGTAATGAGCATTCAGATGCCTTGGCCAGAGAGGAATTGAGCAGTCCATTTCTCAGTCCTGAACCAGCAAATCCAGTCTCATCATGTGCTACTAGGCTTTAGGTTAATGACTGAAGGAGAAGCACTCTGAACACTGGGCTGCCAGTCTGAGTATGAACCAGTCTAAGCTCTTCACTGAAAGGCCTTCAGGACAACTGTCCAGGGACCTATTGGACTTGAACAGGAAATAATGTAGGCTGGTAACAGTGTTGATGATTGGTCATTGTACACTGTGGCAGCACCTACAAATTATGGGTTTCTCAGAAAATGTCACATACAAGAAATGTGGCCAGGAACAGAAATTCTTGTATCATATACAGGGAGGTCACCTGAGATCCTCCAAAAAGTCTTTCAGTCACTCAGAATACAGGCTACTCACATTATTTTATACTACATGTGTTCATACATGTGGCATAGCTGACAAGCTTGTACACAATACAGAGTCTTTTTGGCACATCTTTGAACAACTATTTGAGATGAAAGCTTATGTGTTTGTCAACTGTAAACACCCAAGCCCCTGTTACTGTATTCAGTGTTTAGTCACATTACTTCTGCTGTCAAAATATCATATGACAGTTGCACATTGAGACAAATATTCATACATGATACCCATGTGAATGGGGAAGGGAAAACAGATGGATTAGTCATACAATTGAAGAGTATTATCTTCTGGGACATAACGCCATGTATTCTGTTCAAAGCCAATTGACATTCCAGAAGAACATATTGCCTCCATCTTCAGGGTTGCTTGCCACTTGCTTTCATGCTGATTTCTTGCTCTGCTTATTCTTCGACTCTGGTTGACTTTCAATGAACTGCACATATCGCTATATCCCAGAAGCTAGTACTGTCCATAACCATCACTGTCAGAACCTCAAGTCCTACAGCCACACAATTGTATATACTGTGATTATTTGGGGTGGGGGAATAGAAATGCTGAATGTTCACTGGAAAGAAATTGGATGAAATCAGTGCTAGTCTTGAAAATTCTTCTTGAAAATCACTAGAAGCTTTGTAAGGTGACAGTTGTCTAAAGCGTCATTTTCAAGTTTAAAGTTTCCTCTGTTTCAAAGAAGGAGCTCCAACATGTGAATGTGAACATTTCAGAGATGCAAGTGTTGCCTGCACAGAAACATGAACACTTTCATCATCTGCTGTGATGGGAGTGTCTGTGTGTGTGAATTGCAGCTGTTCAAAGATTTACTGTACTGATGCTGAGAGAAACTGTAATTTGTATAGGCTACTGACCTGTCAGCTATGGCTGGAATCTGAATACACAAAGTGCACAAAGAGAGAGGCTCTCAGGCAATCTCCCTGTACATTCTTAATGCCCAGATAGTCCTTTTCACACTCGTTGCCATGAGAATGTCAAATATCAAATAATATTCAAAGCCCTTTCTTAACACTCCAGTCTGCATGGTAACTAGAGGATAGTGGGTCTGAAGCTCTCACAGTAGTGATTATGAAGAGCATGCAGTCCACTGAAAGCATAATGATGCTTAGGAGAAACATGTCACCTCTATCTCCGAGGACCCTGAAGATGATGACATTTTCCTCCAACACGGTGGCTAACTTCCAACAGACTACATCATGTTATATCCTACAAGAACGAAATCTTCAAAAAATTAATTATTTGAGTGACATTCACTTTCATGAACCACTGCTTTATTGTACTTTAAAGTAGTTCAGACACAAAATGTTAAACTTGTAGTAGCTTGCAAAACTTGTCTGAACACTCCTGAATATAGAATTCTATGGAAACATGTAGCTGAAAATGGGCATTGTGATGAAAGTGATTAAAATGTTGAAAGAGTTATATCAGATTGATTTAATTTAACTGATTTTCATGTAAAAGAAACAAATATTTTAGAAATACTGATATTTGGACCTTCTGTGTCAACTGTGGTGTTGGTCAGCATATAAATTTAAATTTCAAATAATTTGAAGAGCCTAAATGTCACTAAAAACAACACAGCATAAAAGGTGGTAGTCCCATCAAGAGTCAAACTGGGTCCTCTTGAATGCATATAAAAAAGCACGTTCAGTGTGACAGGAGTAACTCCAACAGGCAAATATAACTTACCTTAAAACAACATCACCGGCTGTGGTATTTTCTGATAAACGTACTGGAACATCCACTAACTGAAACTGTGGAGCATTTACTCGTACAATACCATCTTGAAAATCGACTTCATTATTGATCTTACGAGTAATTGGCTCACGGGCAGCACCTCTTCGTCCAAGCAATCTTTTCATAGGTTTGCTATTCTCCTTTGTACCTCTACAAAAGAAATTAAAAAATAGCATTCACAAGAAAAGACTCTTGCTGCAGTGACATGGATATGTAAAAGGGATGAGAGCAAACACAGATGTCCAGATTATTCAAGTTACTGAATGTTAAAACAAATTCACAGTTATAAAAAGTGACAGAAATGATAATTACTGCACATACAAATATGCAACCTATTGAAGAGACGCACAAAAGATACAAATCCTGATTACCTTCCAAATACAATTTTGTTCTCTTGGTTCAGGGGTGTTAAATCAATCAGGTGCAAATCTTTGGAAAAAAAATTAACAGCAAAGATTCTGGACACAGATAATTTTCAGACCATGGCAGTGAAATAAATGACCTCTGTCTCCCTAAAGAGAAAAGCAATTTGAATTGTCACATTATAAAATCTATATCAGGGGACAGAAAGATTCTGGGTAGTGGAGAAGAAACAAAGATCCCAAGATCCTGACTGGTAAGAACAGCTAGTTTAATATTCATAACAATGAGAACGATGATGACAATCATAAGAAATACACACTCAAGAATTAGAAATGGAGAGAGTGCTTTCTACTTTGACAGTGTTCTGGATGCTTGTGTATGAAAAGTCAGAGTAAAGTTCCAAAAATAAAGCAAATAAGTTAATGTTGACAACAATAATAGCAATGATGACAATGGTAACAATCATCACAGTGGTGATAATAATCTTACAAATAATACACATACTAAATTTGTTTATTTAACAGCACCATCAGTAATTCTTATTCTGCCAAGAATTGGAAAGGATATTGAAAATTGTGGTCATAGCCTAATTTGAGGGACTATTCCAGCATTTGCCTGGAGTGACTGAGGAATATCATGTAACACCTCAATCAGGATGGTCAGTGTCCCACCTGACATTCAAGTGGAGTACCTCTTGAATTTCAGTCAAAAGTGCTACCTTGTTCATTATGCAAATAAAATGCAACTTCAATTGCGCATGAATCTACTGTATTTTTAGCCATATTTTCAAACACAGAGGGCAATATCTGTCACAGAGTAACTACATCTTTCCTACTCTAGTGCTGCCATTCTTGTTTTGCATTGTTATGAACTGCTGACAACTTAGCTGTAAAATTAATATATATATTGTAACGTGTTTGCTCGTTACTGAAGACGCCGTAGAGATGGTTAATTGGGTTTATTTAACAATCTACAACTAACGGCTACAATTAATTATCACACAGTTGCGGGGTTTCACACTTTATAACCCTAATCGCATTAATCTGTCGACACTGTTGCGGGGTTTCACGACTTATAACCCTATGCGCAAATCAGTTCACTCTGTCTTCAGTAGTCTACACGTTGACAGTAGGGGAGCTTTGTATCACTGTATCACACGCTCCCAATTACACAAT